TTTTCAGACTGCTGATGATGAACGATCTTTATTTATTTTATGCAAACATACTAAAAATAACAAATATGTTATTGTTGGTATTTGGTTCGAAAAACAATTTGATACGTTAATCGGAAAATAATATAAATTATGGAAGACACTTTCGTAATTCCTAAACTAAAATTTATTTTTATTTGACTTAGAAATATCTATAGGTAATAGTAAGTTGTTATCTCGTGTCAAATAAACATCTACAATATTACGATGCATTTTTTCGTTCCGCAATATTGTAAAGCTCTGCAATAATTTTCCTTAAATGTTTATTGAATTATAGAACATTTAAAAAAAAAATATCGACGAATACATATTATTTTAATGAGTTTTTATATAATATGTTACATCGACTTTTTTATGTTCAATAAAAAATATAATTATATTATTAGTTAGTTTAATTAAATGAATAACATTAATGTACCAAAAACAACAAATAAACTATGACTTTTATGGTAAAATGAACCTACTTGTTGACTATAATATACACTAATTATAGTAAAGAATAAAATCAATTTACTTTATGATTATTATTTTAGTACTACTAATACTGAAATTTATATATACTTGCTTATTAAAATTATAAAACTATTCTTGGGTTTCATATAATATTATTAGGTTTAAATGTAGATTATTATTTTTTTTTATCTTTATGCACATAAGACTTAAATACTTTAATATTTTATTGGATTAATATAGGAGCTTTTGAACTTTTGTTTGTGTCAACAATGAAGTATAAAATTTCGAATTCTTTTATTCCTAAAATATAATTGTACYTTGTTACTTTATGAATGTTGAATTCATAAAARCGATATGAAAGTAGTAATTGTTTTTTTATTCCCGAGGTTATATAACAAAGTTTTTGACTTTTCATTTTAAAATTTAACAAGGGTAGATGTTTTTTGAGGCTTTTAAGGGATTTTTTTGTAACAAAGTATGCAAACTTGTATTTCTCTAACTCATGTCGTGAACAGGCTGAACTTAACGTKTCTGATAAAGTGATTATGTATCGCTGTAGAACGTATTATCTATTGCAATGCACTAAAAAGTTCCATGATAATACACCATCATATTTTAAGCGTTTTCATTCAATAAGTTAAACATCCAATATTCGATGTATGTAAAAATCAACTACAGTTTATTTTTTATCATATACTGTCTATACTCTACTCTGACATCTCTAAAATATTTTCACATGAATGCATTATTGTGATTCCACTAAGTAAGATTAAATCCAAATGTAACATTGTGATTTTTTTATTAATTTAATTGTTAGGTACGATCGTTTCAGTAGTCTCGCGCATGTGAGTTGCGAGTGTTTTTTAGACGGTGTAGTKCGCATTCATGAAATTAATTGAAGGCTGTTTTTCACATTAAAATGTTTATGTCCAATGTTCTGGAATTTAAGCACACAACAACTTTGAGATGGTTTGAAGTCATTCATGTGAACGAACAATCATTTGGTGGTGATGATTAAGCACTGAGAATTTAATATACACCTATTATACAATCCTATTTTCTCTCATGATAGACTAGGTATAATACATCTAGTCAGCTTATTATGTGTAGCTGAAACGGTGTCACTAAATGAAAACTACTTGATATGAAAAKTTTTTAAAATATAATCATGCATACGTATTCTGCAAGGACACAATATTCTGGATATTCAGTAGGTAATCACGGACTTCTGGAATCAGATCGAAAACACATTGTTATTGATTCTTCACGATAATATGACCGCAGCGCGCCAATGTTCGCAATTCGATTGACCCAGCACATATATTGTTCGACGTCAAAATTCACGTGAAATTCAATTCATTTCTATTACAATTTTGACCATTTATTAGTTGAACAAAATAATTACTCGCTTATAGAAATAGCCATGAATGAACAATGTATTCCTGTGTTTTTATCAAATTGAATAATCTTTAGTCGAATATAATTATTGAAACTGACGTGGTAATTTATTTTGATAATGAAAAAAAAAAAAAACATATCAATATTCAACCATTCTATGGGCAAATTGATTTAAAACTTGAAACTATACTGCTCAAATTCTATTAAAGTAGAAGTATGTTAAGAAAGTTTCACTCCCACAACGCTTTACAATTCCATAATGTAACATTGTTCTCTTTGATGTCCCATTTATAACTAAATAATAATAATATTGTTGGACAAGTTTTGATATCAACATAAGTACGTTCATATTAAATTTAATATAGTTTCATAGTATTTGGTTATCTGTGTTTTTTACTTTATCATCCAATAAAATACCTATGTAATAATAATATAATAATATAATTTTTCTAATAAAATAGAACATTTATATAATATATAATATTTTTCAAGAATAGAACAATGATAATAGTATTTTTAGCATAATATTAAATTATTGTTTTTAATAAAATTCTTAAAAATATTTTTACACGTATTTTGTTAAATTTAAATTTATGATTTTAAATATTCAAATTTGTTATAATTAAATCAATATAAATACATAAAGTGAAAAATGTTATAATTTTTAGACTTAAAAATGTACATCAATATTTAAAATATTACATATTGTATTATTTTACAATGCAAGTATTTATATACAAATGGATTACCCAATCCTTCTAAAATAGAAAAAAAATAAGAATCATTAGATACTGAAAGCTTTTTAAAAAAATACGGAGAATTATTATCTTTAAACATATATTATAGTATAGCATTAATCCCAAACACCATATTTAACCAATTATACACAAGTGATGATTAAAAACGAAATGTCGATTTTTAGGTTAATCAATATTACGTATGTACCTACTTTAAACTTTAGTTTATGCGTGATTGCGTAATTGAAGGAGTTCGTGGAAAAACAAAATATATCAATTTTCGTCGAAAATAGGTATTTCAATGGGGCAGATTCAACAAACCGTTTAAAATATTTTATTTTATTCTTTGTATTGGAAGTATAGCATACTTGGAGCCGTCTACTTACTCTGGAAAAAAATCAGATAACTCCGAAAGAATATTATAATTTAATAATTTATAATGAATAAAATTAGTGAATACTTAGTGTTGGTCAAAATGCAAAATAATAAAATTTAAAAAATTTAAATTGTTTTCTTTTATTATCCCTTCATTTTTGTAAAGTTTTTCGTCTGGTTTTGCACCTACCTTCAACTACGTCTATGGGTTTAAAGGTACAATGTAGTTTCTGTTAAACTGTTTTTTTATTTATACTTTTCAGTGTTTTCACAGAACGTAAGAACGACGAACACTGTTTCCTTTGAAATTAAATTGGTAACATTCTTTGAAATGTAAAACATGGAGAACACTTGACGTTTAAATAACGCATAAATCATTTACTTACCTTGAAAACTAAATACAGTGAGCACATTATTGAACAAGTCGTTTATTATTCTCTACTACAAAAAATTGCATGTTTATTGGCTCAACTATTGTCATCTCTTCTCCAACCTCTCATTCGTTCTCACAATAGGGAAAGGGATACAAATAGGTACCAACAAACTTGTAAGGTTTACACGCACCAACTATATTTACGAAAAAATCAGCGACTGTCATTTACACATTTTATATGCACACGTCAGCATAGGATTAATATTTTCACGAGAGAGAATAATGACACCGTCAGCTATCATATTATACTTATCAAAATATCAWGAATAAACGARCGCAAGGTACGCATTTGTCTATAAMAATATGAAAATAATATGTGCATATTGTAAATATTATTTCGAAGAAACAGTTTATGAGATTACGCTGAGATCCTTAATGTGTTAAACACTAAAAATAAAATGGTGCTTATAATAGTCGAAGTGAGAAATGTCCAGTCGAAATGTCATATT